AGCCTGAACGCACGGACTTTTGTCCCCATGTTCGTTAATACATCTCTAGCTAGGTGCGGCCTAGAATAATGTTATAGGAGCCGAGCTCTGTAACCAAAAAAGGGACTAAGAGCTGCTTCCTTCCGTCTACCGTAAGGTGGAGGCGTAGGCAATGAGAGATAGCTTGTCTAAGTCTGCTATTAAAGCCTGAAACAGGGATAAGAGAGCGTAAGCGCTGAAACTTGGCACTAGTGAAGTTCGCAAAGTCGCGGGCAAGGGCAGAAGTAATAAAGGCAAAGCTATTTGCTCTAGTGTCGATGAGAGGGTGAACGGTAGTACTAATTGCATTAAAACTGATAGTATATGGGTACGAAAAGTGTGTTCCACCTATTACTGCTCGTAAGTCTAGCTTTGAGCAATCGACAAAGCGGCCTAAGAAGGAGACTTCCCTTAGGCTATGCTATTTCCCGGTATAAGCTGACTTGCGTTGTCTTCATCGTCTTCTACTTCTTCCTCTTCCACATAGCCTTAAGGGTAGGTTGTAATCTCTTCTATCTCTAATGCACTCTCTATGTTGGTAATATCCAAGTGTGTAACCGAAGGGCAGTCCTTCGCAAAGTGACCAATCCTCTTGCAGTTGAAACACTAGCTAGTCTTTGGGTTAGGGGGAGCTGCTGACTGCTGGCGGCTGGGAGTGCCTTGCCGATGAAACGTAGGGGCAGTAGGCTTGGGAGACGATCGAGGTGGTCCGGGCAGATAGTGTTGTGTTGTCCTGACCGGTACCTAGGGTCCTTAGACGGTGGTAGAGCGAGCTTCCGCACGAGACTTCCTTAGGGTCGGCACTAGCTTCGTCTGAGCTACGTGTGAGAGTTCGAGGTCGGTCTGCTTTGCTACAGCGCAGAGGTTGGTAAAGCTTTGGCACATACTATACACTTGGCCTGTAATAGCGATACGGATGCGGGGCGTAAGCTTAGAGCGGAAATCCGAGAAGAGCTAGTCTCATGATATCCTTGCTTGAGCTAATAAAGTGAGAAAGCGGATCTTAAACTATCGCATAGTCTTAGTGTCTATCATAGCTAAAGAGCGATACTCGTCTTGCTTCTTCAAGGATTCGAAAAGGTCTACATAAGCTATAGCCAAGGACTAGACCATCTCTTCCAACGTACGGAACGCATGGTGGACTCTTCGTAGAGTGGTAGGGAAGCGAGTTAGCAGTTGAGCTCTAGCCTCACCAGTAGTACGACTAAGGGCGTAGTTCATCCGTTGTTTCTCTGATACGCTAGGGTCCATGTAACCTGAGGCCTCGAGCTTGGAGTCCAGGTCGATTATCCACGAATCAAACGTAGGGTCTTCTCCATTGTCAAAGAGAGGTGGGTCAGGGAAACGATAGTTGGTCCGGAGTGCTGGCGCAATAGACCTAATTTGAGGGGCAAGCGTTAATTGGGTAGGGATCTCGCCTCTGTGGCGTCTTGCAGATGGTCCTCGAAAATGAGGATGGGTCCGTCTGTCGCTGTCTGACGAGGAGTCTCCTGAAGGGTCGTCCGGAGTAGTGTTTGAAACGGACCGAGCCCGTCTCAAGTCAGAGTCCATAGCGGGAGTATTATCCGGAATAGTACTAGCGCGCGTAGCTCTATCTCGAATAAGCTGTTGCCGAGCCGCTTAAAGTACGGTAAGGAGCTTAGGATCATTATCTGCAATTTCGGCAAAGTCGGTTTGACGTAAGGGGCTGGTTTGAGAAGTCCGAGAGGGGGCACCCGGCGTAGGGGTGAGTGTGTGCCCTTCAATAGAGGGTCTTAGGGAGGGTACGTCGTCCGAAGAGACGACGTCTTCGATGGGGGAGCGTCGTACACTCATTCTTGCAGGCGGAGGATAGTAGATAATTCGAGGAAGCTTTCGAGGGCTAGCCCTTTGAGTAGAAGTAGAGGTGCGTACTCTGGGGGAGGAAGCTTCGTTATTGTCGACTATATCGAATAGTTCTGCAGTCTGAGTGTCGACACTCGACATCGGGGGTCTGGTGGTGCTGAAGATATAACTGAAGATATACTCTTCGCGGTACACGTCCAACGCGTACAATCTCTGGCCGGATATTCTTTATTATGCCTTCCCAGGCTAGTAGGGGGTTGTTTGACCTTTAGATAATGTGACAGCACAGTTGGACTCAAGTACGTAGACGAGGAATCGATTAGGCTATCTCTTAGAATCTAAAGGTAAAGGAGAAAGAGGGGAGAGGGGAACGCGAGATACATATAGAGGTCACAGGTCACGTGCATATTCTAGCCACGTGACTTCAGAACTGTGACACGTTCCTGGGACCCTGCGGGATCCCAGGATACGGAGGAATCCTGGGCGTACGTGTCCCAGGACACGTACGGTCCCAGGA